TGAGATTATTGGTGCCAGCAGATCATCACCTGATTCTAAGTTTTGCAATACGAATCTATAGTATGGAATATGAATGGGCAAATAAATCGGTGTCAAGGAGATCTCACAGAAACGTATATTTTAATGTCCAGTTCACTCATCTCCGTCCCCATAATAGATTTTACCAATATCATTTCAGTTACCCGAATTCCGTCTATATTGTTTTCACCAAGTTAGCCGATACTCCATTTTCACTAATTACTACCATCTATGAAAATCACAAATTTGGTGATATGATCATGTCTTTTACCCATTCTCTTGCAAGGCAATAAGGAACTCACGAACCAAAGGTAACCTATCTAATTGTAGAACTTTAAAGGAAGAAAGAGAGAATTGGTCGATTGAACCAGAACTGAGAACTTACATTCCTTGTTTTACTTCTATAAATTTAACCTTGGGTTCTTCGATTTCTCATTTTGTGAGACTCACGTCTACCTGTGCATGGATTGATGAATTAACGGCAAAAGTATTTATTTATACCAAATGGTAGGTATCATGATAGTTATCATTAGCCCTATAGTTGACTTCGGGCTTCACAGAGGGAAAGGAACATCAAAGTGAAAAATTCGAGTGGGGGGGGGATGGAACAGAAGAGTGTTTCGATGACATAAAATAGGCAGACACAAAGGTAGAATAAAGGTGAGGTGAGTACTGTGAAAGTAGTCAAATTTGACATACAGTGTGGTTATGGTAGTTTGAAGTCAGAAGTCAACTGCCAGTTAATAGACTTGTTTGTCGTATAAGTATACGGTTGCCCAGGATGTACCACGTGGAGGTGTCTATCACACGCCTCTGGTCCGGCGAGGCGGATATTAACCACCGACCTAATGATGATAAAGTTGTTGATATAGATCAGTAAGTAACTTGATACAACATCCAATAACCCTGCTAGTGTATGCATTACTGACTGAGCTCCTGAACCAAACTTCATTTGCATACAAGAAATTAGTTCAAGTGGTAAAATTCAAAGTTTCACCAATTTCACTAATTTGGAGTGAATTGAAGAATTGCGAAAAATCTGGTCAACAAAGTCGCCAAAGACGTGTGCGAATTATGAACTCAGGAAGAGGAAGTTTTCACCACATTCATAATTTGCTATTAGAATGAATGTCACAAGTGTTGAAATCCAATTTATCGCAAAAATGCAAAACATAATCAAGTGACTAATAACACTCTACACTTTCAACACAACTTGATTTTGTAAGTAAAATAGTCTGTTCTCAAAGATTGTGGAGGTGTAACGACTATTTTGGACAGTCTTGCAAAACTCAATTCTCTGTGTTTCACAAGATTGTTGGAGAGATTTTGGAAGTGGATTTAACTTAGACTCGATTATCTCCTTTTAAAACTCTATCCAAATAATCATTATTCAATTTTAAAGTTCCACGTTACTTCTTGTTCAATCTTTATACCTTCGATAAGAGTGGAAGAACGTTGAGCAGTACAAATCTCGAATTATTTATTATCAAGATTTGAAAGCGAAAATCTATAAACTGACTTTAATTGAGGAAATATTTGAATCTGATTTCTGGATAAATTATGTCTTTAACTGATTAGCTATTTAATGAGGCATAAAATTCAACCCTGCTTTAAATATCATCTCGATGTTTCTCGGTTGTGCTAAGTATGCTACTAAGTGGTATTCTGTCGGGAGGAGTGTGGTTGTGAAAAATAATTCCCATTTTACAGGCGCCTATTCGATTCCACTAAATCACCTCGATAGAAAAGCACCATTTTAAAACTCAATGGAAGAGAGTTTTTTTCTGAATGTAAGCAATAATCTTCAATACAATTGAACAGAAATTGCATTGAAGAAACAAAGACAGAAAGATAAAAACACAACGCCATTTGGGACGAAAAAGTGAGTAGATCTTTTAAGAATGACTTGTGACATCAGTTCCCTCCCATTAGCGTTGAATGTTGCTGAAATAAAATGCGGGCCAAATTTAAATCGGAAATAGTCAACAATCTCAGAAGGTCCAAGTCAACTAAATGGGTAATGATAAATAATATAATGCCCTCCATTTGGTATAAATAAATAAATATCCACCTTGCCTATTGAACCTCTAAGATTAACTCAATTCTGCTAAACCACATCGAAAGGAATGCATGATTATAAAACTCAACGGGAAAGAGGGTTATCTATCTTAAGCATTTATTTTCAATACAACGGAACAAAAATGTACATTTACCGAGTTTGGAGTGAAAATACTTTCGAAGCCATACACATTTGCATTGTTGAAAACTGCGTAGGTTAGAAGTGCCATCGAAAGCTGACCGAATTGAAACTAAAATCGCAAACTGATATCAGCAAGAAGAAATCTTTCCTCCAGTTTTTATGTACAAAAGCTTTCTGCCAATTTGGCCCAATATCGTCTTGTATAGTGTTCTTCCCCACTACATAAGTAAAGTACTATTGTATTCACCTTCTATAACATAACGATAATTAATTAGTCTGGAATTGCGAAAAAAGATCATATAAACTGATTGGGTAATTACCATTTAACTCTTGGCAATCAAATTCCCACTAAGGGAGAATGTGGAGAAGAACGGTGAAATAAGTGCAGACTGATCACAACAAAGATATCTGTGCATTTACTTGAATATCTGACTAATTTAGTGTGGCCCAAGGTAGTTGGGGACTTGTATATGGAAATAGGTCTGGCGTGAATTTGAATAAGGTGGCAAATATTTGTGTTCAATAAAATGCACAACCGAAGAATCTACTTAAAAAGAGTAGGAAAGTAGAGAGTAGCAATCTGATCTCTACCAATGGCCTTTCTTTAGGCAGCTTTTTAACCTATCAATAACGCCATCAGTAGGACCTTCAAATGGAAGGTGTTGCCGATGTATATATATATATATATATCCTGAGGGAGCTTATATGAATGTCCATATGATAGTACGATGAGAGGGTATTTTGTATTTGTGCGTCAGTCATTTGTTGATTAGTAGCGCATCAAAATCATCAACTGTGCAAGGCATGTGTCCGTTTGTATGTTACAGATAGGAAGAAATATCGTGCTCAAATACTACAGTGTTCATCTTATGAAAATGCGTCTCAAATTGTTGCTTAAATAGAACTTTTGAAGAAGTGCACAAGTTCATGACATTATAGTAATAAATAAGTTGGAAGTGCAGTTTTATATTCCTAACAAAAGTGGAAAAGGCAATGAGTTTAAAACTTCACAATATACTATACCATACTGGGTCAAATTTAAGTAACTATTCGATTATAAATTAAAATCAAAAATTAAATAAAGATAAAATTTAAAAAGGATTTAAAACTATTATCATATCCAAACTACTTTTTCGAATTAAGTTACCGGTATCTTCTATTAGTCTGGATGCGACTTCCTCATTATGGACATTGAAGACCAAGGAGATTTGATCACAATGATCCAGATAAACTTGGTAAATGTGTGGTAATTTGGTTTAAAAATTAAAAGATGTCCCAAAACAAGTTTCTCTGGAAATATATCAAATTGGGCCTGTGAACGGTATGTAAATAATCATAAATATGTGAAAGACATTGGCTTGTCCGATAGGCTGTTAGATATAAGAAGAATTCACATCTCTGCTAATACTGCACAACCAGAACACTGCAAGAGACTTGCAAGTTCAGTCGTGAAGACTTCATAGACATTTCTGGTAATTTCAACCACAAGGTGGCATTGAGCGGGACGACAGTGATGCTGATGAAATTTCTAGGCATCCTTCTTTATTTCGTTTCCGTTGTCCTCCCCTATCAGTTCTCTCTCATGAGCACAGCTCATTTCCAACAGAATGTCTAACTAGAGAAGACTGCTATTGTGATTTCAAGTGACGGGAAAGGAAGAATTACTGTGCATCTGTAAATAAAATTCAGCCTCGTGTCGCCTCCAACCGACAATTTTGAAACCAGTTTGCACTAATTATGAAAATGTAATTAACAAGCACTTAATGCTACCTTATGGTCAGCTCATTTATGTCATAACCACATGTTCAGATAATGAGGGAATTAGTGAAGACATCAAGGCTCGTTGCAGCGGAGCTAGTTGGCGTTTCTTGAACCGTATGAAACAAAATAAACTACTTTGGCTATCTGGAAACTTGCGTTCTGTTGTCCCTGTGATTGGATATGAAGACAGAATGGTTTACGCAAATGTCTCTTGTGTCATGTGTAATGGATTGGGAAAAAACAGGTTCATTTTCCTCAAATATAGATAGGTTGAGTTTGGATTTACAGTAGAGACATTGACTTTTGTGAATGATTATTAAAATCAATGATATAATCTTATCAAATTGAGAACTACTTGAATTAAGAAAATATTGTTTGTAAATGCTCTGACCACTTTGAACTTTGAATAATACACACTTATTTTAAATGTTCATTGCGACGTTAGCTCTCATTAATGTTGAATGTTGCCAAAATAAAATGTTGGCAAAATTTAAATTGGATAATAGTCAACTGAGAAAAAATAAAGTGGTAGAAATTTATTGATCTCTTTTTCAGTTTCCTAATAAATGTTGCACTTCAACACGTTTTTTCTCCTTTCATATTAGAGTTCTGAATGTAGTTAGAAGAAGGTTCGTGAAATTCCCCAATGCAAATGAGTCCTAATTTATTAGTTTCAAGCTTAAAAGAGACATAGAATTGATTTTTAAGAAATGATGAAACTTTGAAGTACAAAAGTTAACGATATCATTGTGATTAATTAGTTGCAAGGACATTTTATTATATATACAACGAATGTGGAAAAGAAGTCTCATATTATATCTCACCATATATTACACAAGTCAGATTTTAAAATTATGTAACTTTGCATAACAAGTCGTTCTTCAGTTAAAATTAAAGTAAAGACTCACGTTAAGAAGGATGTAAAACTAATATAATATCTGAGTATTTAAAATTGTATTTTAATATGCTTGTGCGCGTATTTTATACTTCCGGCCAAAGAAATTGAGGGCAAACGGTTGTGCCTAAGTTTAAGGTTGCGAAGAATAATAGTACACGATGTTTGACCTTGTTACATGAGTGATGGCGTAACGGACAAAAATCAGAGAATACTTCAAAGCAATTATGTCCGAATGCTTAAATAATCAGAAATGTGAACGGCTCGTCTATTGTTAATAAATAAACTTGAATGTCAGAAAGTCATTGGCTTGTCCGATAGGCTGATAGATATAAGACGAATTCACATCTCTGCTAATACTGACCAATCAGATCACTGCAAGAGACTTGAAAGTTCAGTTATGTAAACGTCATTTACACAACTGGTAATTTCCACACAAGGTGGCATTGAGTGGAACGGCAGTGATGCTGATGAAATTTCTAGGCATCCTTCTTTATTACGTTTCCATTGTTCTTCCACTTTCAGTTCTCTCTCATGAGCAAAACTCATTTCCAACAGAGTGTTTAACTAGAGAAGACTGTTATTGTGATTTCAAGTGTCGAGAAGAGGGGGATTGCTGTACGCTTGTAAATGGATCTCAGCCTGCTATCGATTCCAATGGGTCTTTCTTTATACCAGTTTGCACTAGTCATGAAAATGTGCTTTCCAAGAGCTTTATCATACCGTATGGTCAGGGCGTTTATGCTATAACCAAATGTCCAGATAATGAGGGAATTAGTGAAGACATCAAGGCTCGTTGCAGCGGAGCTAGTTGGCGTTTCTTGAACCCTATGAAACAAAATAAACTACTTTGGCTATCTGGAAACTTGCGTTCTGTTGTCCCTGTGATTGGATATGAAGACAGAATGGTTTACGCAAATGTCTACTGTGCCATTTGTAATGGATTGGAAAAGAAACAGATTTATTTTCCTCAGGTTAAAATTGGTTGCAGTAATAGTGAGAGCATGACGAGTTGTTTTGTGAGTACAAATCTACCAAAAAGTATGACTCGATTTTGTTTCCAAAGTGATCGCCCAATATTATCTCCCGATATCTACGAATCCTTTGACGTCAAGAGCATATTTTTGGGAATGGAATACATATTTGTAATTCCTGAAGAGTACCTCAGTGATGGCTACATCAAACTACCCTTTGTCACCTCGCAAGAGTCAGAAAACGAAACAAACCAAATCATTGGACCTGAGTACGGAGTGAATGAAGCTTACATGTGGTTACAGATCATCCTTCTTGTCTTTTCAATGATAGGTCTCACTCTCATGCTAGTGGTGTATGGTTCGAACTCATTGCTGGGACGTTCATTGGGTGGTCTACTAACAATGGGACTGGGAGGAACTTTGTTAGCAATGGAGATATCGTTCCTGATTGTGGCATTTGGTGTTCCAAGAGCAGAAAATCGTGGAGTTTGTGTTTTCATGGCAGGTGTTCTACTGTTTTTACTTCTCAGTAGTTTCATGTGGATGACGCTTCTTGCCTTTCAACTTCTCTTGACATTTGGTGATTGCAGGGCATGTTTTCCTATCATTTGGAAGTATATTTCTTGCCGGCGTGGAAACATTGGTGTAAGTATCCCCATTGACATGGAAATGCTCAAAATTTTAATACTAATGCATTAGTTAACACTAAGTCATTTTAAGTCTTCGGGTATATTTCAGCCAACATATGTTCTTTGATAAATTGCCGTAAACTTATTCACTCGGAGTTGGTTCTTGTATTAGTAGATTCTGTAAGTTAGACTCCTATAATATTGACGATGAAAGCTGGAAACAATCCACTATAATTTGTAATGGCAAATTTAAAATTGAATTGCTTGAAAGTCATTTTATAAGTTCGAGTACATTTCGGTTACCTTATGGACTTTGGTCAATTGCTGCATAATTAAAAGTTATCAGTCAGAGGTGACCCTTGTTCAAAATAAAACTATTGGGCTCCTAATATCGAGGAAGTAAGCATAGTAATCCATATTTTTTCATTCTACAAGCTCACTATCATTTGCTCAGAAATGCATCTATACATTATTTTAGAATAGTATTTAATCGTTTCTCGATTTTCAGCAACATTTTTTGTATTCATAGTTTGCTATCTCAGTTCTGTCTAGTGAAACACATGTGTGTACATAAAATTGTGAATTTTGTTTAAATTTTAATTAAAGATTGTTACTGTCCAGAATATTTAACTACTAGTTAATTAACATCTTTTAAAATAGAGTTAACTATTTTTATTAGTTTCAATCAAATAGAAAGCGAAGCTGTGAAGAAGTGCAATTGTTTTAAAATTCTTATGTCATTATTGGTGTTTTTGGCATGTCGAATTGTAATCTTACTTAAAAGTGTCGTATATTTATCGGCCAAATCGTCTTTTGTTATTACTATTTTTAGAGACCTTTTATAGTACGCATATTTTGAAATATGTTGGCTATGATGCACGGTCGAGATGTATGAAGATATTTCAGAAGGGATTTCGAAATAAGGCATAAGTCACTTTAAATTCCCCTGATTCTAAAGTGTACTTCAAGCTCCATGAAATTCACTTCTAATTATGGACTGCCGTTGTTTAAATGCTAGTTAGTATAAGGTTGTGTAGTCGTGCTTGTAACGACATTGACTGAATTCATATGATTTAGTAATTAAATGTAATTCGTGTGCCTGGATTAGAACAAAAACAATAATAATACCAAACATAGTGCAAAGATTAAGCAGTGGGCGATGAAAACGTTAAATCAAAAAATCATAGTGGATGCTACACGAATAAGGCTTGACTGTAAATCAGCTCTGTCACTGGCCAAATCCCGCTGAATGAAAGGGCTCTATGAGTTGGGTGATCCTACCTCAACACTTTCAACGAAATAGAGCGTATGCTGAGAATAGTGGATGGTGTGATTGATTGACATTGACACCGGGTCTTAGTCATTAAAGCACAATTTTGTCGATACGCTGACTATACGGCTACTATTGTTTATTGATTTACTGAGAGGTCTCTACATTCACGAAGCACCTGCTTCCTGTCGCGATCATTTGAATGGCCGCTCGTTACAGAATTTTTGGGGGAACACAAGATTTTCTAGCATAGAAAAGTAGCATCCAACATTTAGAAATCGTTGAACTAGAACTGACTTAACTGGATTAACACCTTTAAATTGGGGATAATATTAAACGAAACGCATTTCATAAAGCAGATAGTGAGCAAATGAAGTAAAAATCACACGCCAATGCATAAATAAATAGACAAATTTCAAATGTACGCCTAATTATTTGCGTGATAAATCTTCATGTTTATGATTGAGAGAGTTTTGGATATTTTTTGCAAAAGCACAAGGTGTTCAATAGATTTAAACGTTTTTAATTTTTATGTGCTGTCACTCGTTAGACTTTATAATTGGAGTGTTAGTGGTGAATTCTAACATTCCACGAAATATGGCATCATGAATGAAGAGCTTAGGGCTCTCCAGTATCAGAAAGTACATTTGAAGGTGAAAGGAGAGTTGCTGTTGAGTGAGGAATTTATTGCCATCTTCTTATGTATTGCATCTCACTTCAATTTGAGTCACGTTTTTGTATTGCCACTGGAGGCGAATATCCCGGTATATTTTCGAACGAAATGGCCAAGTTGGTAATATGTGAAATTGGATCGTGACTATATATATATATTTTTTTAAATGGCTGGCTTTATGATATTAATCATTTGCTATTAAACTTTGACTTCAGCTTCCCCATGGGTGGGGGAACATATAAAGCAGATCATTAGCTGTCTTCTTGCTTCCTAGTATCTCTGGCTTTCCGTTGTTGTCTTTAGAGGTGGACACCGAATCAGGTGGGTCTTTGTTGTCTTTAGAGGTGGACACCGAATCAGGTGGGTCTTCTCCTTTTCCTTCTGTAGGTTACATAAGGGGCATGTGAGTTGAGTGTATACTTTTGTATTGCCACTGGAGGCGAATATCCCGGTATATTTCCGAACGAAATGAAGAATTTTCATGGACTTTGGTAATATGTGAAATTGGATCGAGAATATATTCATGGGGGGGGGGGGAAATTGGCAACGTTCAAGCATGTTGCATGAAGGTGGATTAGAATAGTGCGTGGAAAATATGGGATTTGTGTAAAGACGAATTACTTTGCATGCTCTTCACAAATCAAAAATGATTTATTATCTTTTGATCATTGGTGGTTTTTAGTAATGAAAGCTTTGCCATAATAGAATTTTTAATAATGTAATAAAACAAAGAAAAAAACGCTATCTGGGGGAAATGTGTAGTAGATGAATCTGTTGTGAGAAACGTTAATTCGTCGTGTGCTCAGATTATCTCCAAAGTTTCAAACTATCCAATGAATATATTTCTCTGTTCTTAAAATTGTTCAAATGATGAAAATAGAAATAACACCTTTATGATCATTCGATTCGGTTAATGTAAATGAATCAATTTTCTAACGGTCACAATCCCTACTTCTCTAGTCTGTATCAGTGTACTCACAAGGTCGTCGTACGAGAAGTCCGAAGAAACTATTTCTGAAGTATGCCCCACCAGCTGTAATTCTTCCTCTCTGCTTGTCTTCTCTTGCTGTTTTGGTGAACGAGAAAGCCTTCAATCAATTAGCTCCAATCTACACACAGCTATCTACTCCATCACCATCCAAAACACTGGATGAGGCTGATTCAAAAGCAATGCAATCTGGTGTATTTGAAAACATCACTCGAATAGAAGTACTCGGATCCTGTTTGTCTATCGTTGATCCTGGATTCTGTCCGGATTCGGCTCGAGCGTGGTTCACAAATTTTGGTGGATTGTGTGTTTGGTTCCTAGTGCCTGTGGGTACAGTCATTAGCTTCAATGTCGTGACTTTGATTGTGGTGTGTATACAAATCTGTCGATTGTCCAAGGAGGCGCAGATCAGATGCTCACCAGAAAATGAGGAGGAGAAGAAGAGACGAGAGAAAAGGAAGAACCTGGTTGGAATCTGTGGCAAACTTGCAATCATACTGGGTGTTAGTTGGTTTGTGCAAATGTTGGCTGGATGGTTGCCACATTCACTGATAATGAGACGAATTCTTGCTCTAGTGAACTGTGCTCAGGGAGGTGTAATAGCTCTCTCGATGCTGATGAGTGTAAAGTCCAGACGAGCTATAGCAAACATGTTGCCAGAATCGTGTCGTGGATTCATTGCCCCGATATCTGCGTCTCGCCTGAAGGACAGAGAATCCTCGAGTTCTTCGAAAACGTGGTCTTCAGTTCTTCTTCCCAAGAGAGTGCGACCCAGCCGCGAAAGTGGCATCGAACAGATTGACAAATGAACAGCTGAAACCAGAAAACTAACATGCTCTCAATGTGATGTTTTTTGGAATTAAATCAGTATTCGTTCGTCTTCTGTGTCAAACACTTATTTAAGCTAATTGAATAGATGCAATATGATGAGGTTTTGTGTAATTTACTCACTCAATTATAATTTTATTTTGGGCTTATTAAATGTGATTGACCTACGTCTATGACGTGAAATGGGTATGATTCATTAACCTGGTTGGAGATGGAGAGTGGGTACTTGATGGCCATTACCTACCTCGTTTAGTTCCAAATCCAATTTGGAAAACTACTGCACATCAAAGCGTCTAATTCAAATTGCAAAATAGAATGTGAACATTTAGCTGCTGATGAAATAGTTTTACATATCGCAAATTTCTAAATTGATAAGTTTACAACTCTCAAGATGAGATGTTGAAATTTCGTGAAAACTGTTTTGTTCCAAAGTTATCCATTCCAAGGACGTTAGCTCCAGTCAGATACCCACGGTTGAGAAAATGTATCAGTTGAGCTCCAATAAACTTAAATGAACCTCTATTTGTAAAGTTTCAGCAAACTGTGTCGTGTGTAAATGCAAAGTGGTTTTACTTGAGAGTATGGAATCTTGGTTGCCAAGTGTCATTGTGAAGTTTAGATCCGGAAGTTGTGAACCCCGTCACCATATATGTATTAGAGTTCACATGATCAGTATGTGCGTTGACCTTTGCCAACGATTACTAAACAGCAAGGATGCAACTGTATGCAAATGATAATTAGTCGTTTTTTTGAAAATACTGACAAGATTTGTGTCTGAGGGAACATTTCAAAGTAAATTTCACCTGATAAGTTGATTTCTCTCACTGAATGTACAGATATTGGAAGCTCTTTAAAAATAGCAATTTTGTCAATCTAATGAATGTTTCTGTATTTGCCATAGGTAGAGTTCTGTTCAACATGCCTTTGAGGAAATGAAAATTGCATGTTCTCCTCCCTACAGAGGAATATTTGTACATGTCTACTGTGCTGTGTAAATAGTAATTATTTCAGGTGCATTTGATTGACTTATTTATCGAAATGATAAAAGAATGCGCGATCTTGTTGGGAGGAAGCTGATTTTTAGCTAAGAATGAAATTGGCTTGACACTTAATGAATCTCTCATCAACTAATTCATTGAAGTCCCTGTAGTCAGAGTGCATAAACACCACTTCAGACTTCCCACTTGCCGTTACATTGAGTGAAGTAAATTTACTCACTACCATGTGGGTCATCAATTTTCTTAACAAGTGAATTTTAGAATCAACTCTTATTATTGAATTAAATTGTTTTCGTTTAACTTAACTGATTTAAGATGTAATTGTGCGGTATATTTTAAGTTTATATTCAAAATTACTAAATAAGTGTGTGTTTCATGCAGTGGATACATAAATATAGAACTTCGATTTTGCCAAAGACCAAGGAAATGCATTCTACGAAATTTGGTATTTTCACTATTTTCATATTCAATACCGATTTATTGTTCATTTATACGCAGTATATTATCAAAAAAGACTAATTGAAGCAAATACTAATCTATTAACTTTAAATAAATTTTTCTGCAGAATGGACTTTTCCTCGTAAAGAATGGGGTTTAAAATTTTGCTCACTGGGACAGCAAACATGTAAAAGAGGAAATGGCCAAATAATATAACATGTAGCACAATTTTATATAATTAAAAACTGCCTAATTAAACTAACTAGTTAGTAATGAACATTGAGTACATATATTTGAATCTCTAAAAGGATTCGAATTTCTTTTGAGTGCAATGTTTACGAAGATTATTTGTCTCTACTTACATATGTTTATTTATTTATATCAAATGGCAGGCGCTTTGAAAGTTATCATTAGCCTTTTAGCTGACTTCGAGTTTCACAGAGGGGAGGAACATCAAAGTGAGAAAAAGTCGTGAGGGGGAACTGAAGGGAGATTCACCGATATAAAAGAGACAGGCAGACACCAAGGTGGAAGTGGTCTAAAATGACATACAGTGGGGTCATGGTAGTATGAGATCAGAAGTCAATTGCCAGTTTATAGACCTTTTTGTCGTATGAGTAAACGTTTCCCAGGGTGCACCACGTGGAGGTAAGTATATCGCACATCCTCTACTTACATATGTGTGTATGTTAATTCGAACCACTTTGCCATGTGATTTAAATGTGAAATTAATTCACATCCCATGGACTCAAAAACCTTTCGTATGGATAGAAGTTAAGCCGTTTGGTAAATCTTATTTGCATTTCCAAGTCTTTTAACTCGTATGTAAGTGAAAAGGTAAGTTGCTGACCTGACTCGTCGCCTTTTCAAGCTGAACGGTAAACAGTTCTACTGTGCGATCTTTGTGAGCCTTCTAACCATTCGTTAAAATTTCTTAAATTTAACCTAATTGACTTCTATGTAAAATTGCTTAAAACCTCGAGTCATCCGCAAAATGAATTTCATCAATATCATTTCAGTTACCGAATTCCGTCTATATTGTTTTCACCAAGTTACCTGATACTCCATTTCCACTAATTACTACCATCAATGGAAATAAAAAATTAGGTGATGTGATCATTTCTTTTACCCATTCTCTTGCAAGGCATTAAAAAACTCACGAACCAAAGGTAATCTATCTAATTGTAGAACTTGAAAGGGAGAAAGAGAGAAATGGTCAATTGAAACAGAACTGAGAACTTACATTCCTTGTTGTGCTCTCATAACTTTAATCTTGATCTCTTAAAAATGTCTACTTGTGCAAGGATTGATGAATTAACGGCAAAAGTATTTATTTTTACCAAATGGTAGGTATCATGATAGTTATCATTAGCCCTATAGTTGACTTCGGGCTTCACAGAGGGAAAGGAACATCAAAGTGAAAAATTCGAGTGGGGGGGGGATGGAACAGAAGAGTGTTTCGATGACATAAAATAGGCAGACACAAAGGTAGAATAAAGGTGAGGTGAGTACTGTGAAAGTAGTCAAATTTGACATACAGTGTGGTTATGGTAGTTTGAAGTCAGAAGTCAACTGCCAGTTAATAGACTTGTTTGTCGTATAAGTATACGGTTGCCCAGGATGTACCACGTGGAGGTGTCTATCACACGCCTCTGGTCCGGCGAGGCGGATATTAACCACCGACCTAATGATGATAAAGTTGTTGATATAGATCAGTAAGTAACTTGATACAACATCCAATAACCCTGCTAGTGTATGCATTACTGACTGAGCTCCTGAACCAAACTTCATTTGCATACAAGAAATTA